CCCAGCTCCCTCAGCCTCTCTTGGGGCTCCAGACCCTTCCCTGGACACACTTCAGCCCCACAATGACTTTTTTTATCATTAAGGGTCTCAAAACTTAACACAGGATTGGAGGTGCCTCAGCAGCGCCAGCACAGAGGGACAATCCCTGCCCTGGTCCTGCTGCCACACCATTTTTAACACAGCCCAGGTGCCATTGGCCTTTTTGGCTTGGTGGCACTCAAGGTGATCTGCTCCATGACCTTCCCTGGCACAGGATGCAAATTTACTGGATGCAAATCAAGTTAAATGATCAAAGAGCTTCAGAAGTGAAATGATTCCTGCCAGCCCATGCAGTAATGTGTAAACACAGCCTGTCCATGAAGAAACCCAGGACCTAAGTCTGATGATTGATTATATTTCATAATCACCTCTCTCGCCCTCTAATATCTATAATCTGTATTAGACAGGACAGGCAATTTGCAGATATTGCTTTGAACAAATACTCATTATATTTCCATTGGTTCTTCTTCTTCTCGTTCCTCAACCATGAAATTCAGCAGCCGTCTCAAGTGACCCAAAGAAATTTAACAATATCCTTCAGCTCTTCAGAAGGCAACAATCTTAATGAGGAGCAGCAAGAATGGTTTTAAATGTGCATTTTTCATTTGTTTTTTCCACTCCAAAGATAAAGAACCACTCAAACCCAAAAATATGCTTAAATTAGCACACCAGGCTATCTAAGATCAAACTTGATGATCGGCCTCTGTTGCTGAAATTTGGTTGGCATTACTGATCTCACTTTATTTTAAAAATGAGTTTCAGAATGAGTTCGAAATGCAGATTTTATTAGCCTTCATCTTAAATTTAAATTCTTTGGCCACAGCACCTCATTCTCCTCTCAGCATCAGGCCACAGGTTCCTTGCCCTGGTGGAATCCTGAGGGGATCCAGCAGCCAAGAGCAGGTGGGTGGAGGAGGGTGAGGGGAAGGGTTGAACACACAATTCCCCATTTTCCCCCACAAACATCCACCTTTGGGGACAGGGAGTTTGGGATGAAGCACCACAACTTCCAAAGATGGTGGGAGGTGGGTGCTGGAGAGAAAAGAGGAATGGTGACCTGAGGAAACTTTCACAACAACTGATCCCTGCATCCATCCCATAAAAATCCCTCAATCCCATCCTCCTTAAAGCACTTTGCAAGTAAGAGATATTTTATATCCCAAAAACCAAAAAGCTCCCCAAACCATACAAATGAAATTCCACACTCAAAACCCCCAAATCAGAAAAATTCTATTTGTCTACTGATCTACAAATCAAAATTGCATTTCTTAGTGTATCAGGAAAATTTGGAAAAAAATGAGTTTTAGAAAAATTCCTGGTTCCAGATGCTGATTTGAAAAACAAGAATAAAACAAAGGACAAATCCTCAGCCACTCTTCACGTGGAACATGCCAATGTCACAAAAACCAAAATGGGTCCCACTGGTTCAGTGTCCATCCCTGCTCCTCTCTCCAAAAAAGGAGCCAATTTTCAGTGGAGGGATGAGCTGAAAGGTGGTCCTGGAAAAGTGAGTGGGAATGGCTGGGAAGCAGCAGCCTGGAATAGGCAGGGAGCTGCTGATGGTGCAGGAAATGAGGAAATGCAGAGGGAAAAACAGTTATGGGACATCACAGGGAGAAAGGAGACAGATTTCTGCCCTCCAAGTAAAGACAAAATAATGGCTAAAAACTGCACTGTGGGGCTGAGGGAGGGGAAAGGAGTTTCTGAGTCCTGCAAAAACCAATTGGGATGATGTTTGGACAAAGTTGTGACCCAATTTAAGATTAAAAAAAGCCATGAATGCTCACAAGGAGCAGATTCTGGTTCTTCATTAACCTTTCCTTGCAGCTCCTCGTGATATTCGACCCCTCCTCTTGATTTTACTTATTTCTCCAACAAGGTTCAGAACGTTATTTATCTTGGGAAGAGGACTGCAACGAGCATGAGTTGCCTCATGTTTGTAAAGTGCCTTGAAGGTGAAAAACCCATCAGAAGGACTAATTACAATCACGGTAATGAGGGATCACGTCTGCAGGAAATTACAAGGCAGCCTGAACGCTCTGCAACGCAATTTTTGCAAATGGAAGGATCTGAATGTTTTTATCCATATTATGGATCTAATCTAGCATGATGATACAGAGCATGTTTTTATTTTTAAACAAAAATTAACATGAATTTAAGAGTAAAGGCACAGTTGCAGAAAAAAAAGGAGGGCATTTTCACACACCAAGTGGAGCTAATTTTGACTCAGAAAGGCAATACAGCACCAATTTATAGGAACTGAACTAATATTCAGGTGTTTGTTAAGTCAGCAAGTGAAAGCTTTCAAAATCACTTAACCTTCCCTCATTTTGAGTGCCATTTTCTTCTGAACTTCAGTCATCCATAACTTCTGCGTATTTTCATTTCAAAGACAGCAGTGTGACCATCACTTCTCTTGTCCTGGTTCCCTGTTTGTGTGCTCCAGATTTAACCAGACCCTCTCCAAAATGAGACTGGAAATAAATTGAAGCCTAAATAATGTTTGATTTGCATCAACACTGTAAACAAACTCCCTTGCTTCTTCCCACTGACTCCTGGAGAAGCACAGATGTGTTCCCAAACCATGTCTGGGATTGGAAAAGGTGGGTGGATTTAGATGGGATATTGGGCAGGAATTGTTCCCTGGGAGGGTGGGCAGGAGCTGGGATGGAATTCCCAGAGCAGCTGTGGCTGCCCCTGGATCCCTGGCAGTGTCCAAGGCCAGGCTGGAGGAAGCTGGGAGAGGTGACAGACACCCTTGCTTGTGACAGGGTGGGACCAGGTGACCTTTAAAGGTCCTTTCCAACCCAAAGCATTCAGTGATTCTGAAAGCAGACACACTCTGCCTACACACCACTGCCTATAGGTACCACAGCACTGCCACTGATTAAATAACAACTTTAGCAGAATTAAATCTCCTTTTATTTTTTTTTCACCTTCCCACCCTTGTCTGTCAGCCCCATAAACACACCAGAGCAGAGGCTGTTTCCACTGCACCTCTCTAGCCTGAACAAAGCCTCGAGATGTTACTGAATATTAATATTAATAATGGATTCTGTAAATGTTCCAGAGCCTGAAAAATGAATCCTCAAATTAAATGTGATCCAGATTTAGTTCATGTACAACACACAGACAGTAATCACATAATCCTTGCCTTCTTCCTAGCAAGGAAGTGGAGATGAACAGGAGAAAACCAGACCGTGGAATCCCAGAATCCCAGACTGATTTGGGTTAAAGATCATCTCCCTCCACCCCTGCCATGGCAGGGACACCTCCCACTGTCCCAGGTGCTCCAAGCCCAATGTCCAACCTGGCCTTGGGCACTGCCAGGGATCCAGGGGCAGCCACAGCAAATCTGGGAATTCCATCCCAGCCCCTTCCCACCCTCCCAGGGAACAATTCCTTCCCAAAATACCATCTAAATTTATCCTCTTCCAGCTAAATCCATTCCCTGTGTCCTGTCCCTCTGTGCCTTGTCCCCAGTCCCTCTCCAGCTCTCCTGGAGCCCCTTTAGGCTCTGCCAGGGGCTCTGAGCTCTCCCTGAACTTTCCCAGCTCTCTCAGCAGAGCAGCTTCAGATATCAGAACAACATTTGTGTCTGGCTTAAATTACTGGAATTCCTTGCAAGTTTCTGTACAAGTCAGTTTGCAAGTTCTCCTGCTGACACTGTGTCACATTATTTTTAATGGAACCTTTTCAGGAACTTTTCTATCGTACTGCAAATACACAATAAAAAAGGAAAAAGGGGAAATTATTCTTTCCATTTTTGCCAGTCTCTAACTTTGTCCCTCTCCAGCCAAGACCTCTGTCTTAGAGAACAGCACCCACTTTTTGTTTTTTACTGCCTCTTAAAAACCTCACTTCAACATCAACATCAAACTTCAACATCTCTGGAAATCCCACAGATTTCAGCTGTCCCTTCAGGGGAACAATGACAAGTTGGATTGTGGAACTCAATTTCTCAAGTGCCCTGAACTCCAGAGGCCCAGGAGTCACTTGGAAAAGACTTCTAAGATCACCAACCATCACCTTGTTAAACAATAAACCCTGTCCTCAGGTGTCAAATCCATACATTTTTTGAACAATTCCAGGGATGGGGATTGCACCACTGCCCTGGGCAGCCTGTTCCTCTGCTTGCCAACCCTTTCCACGAAGAAACTTTTCCTAATACCCAACCTAAACCTCCCCTGGTGTGAGTTGAGGTTATTTCCTGAACCTGGCTTTTCCCTCGTGCAGCTGCACCAAAACAGCCCCAACATCACAAAAAACCAACCCAAAGCTGGAGATTTTTCCATCATTCTCAAAGAAACGGGGACAGTGTGTCCCACACCCCCTGCACAACCCTCTGGAAAATGCAGCTGTTTACTCCAGAGCCAGTTTATTCAGGTGGGGACAGCAGGGCTGCAGCCCAAGCATCCTGATAAATGGAATCTATATTCTTGAAGGTCAATAACTCCCAATCTGCTGCCTCACAGATTTCCTGCCTTGGAAGCTTTCCCAGCTTTGCCCAGGACATGGCAAGTCTTCTGGAGAAATGAGTTGTACAGGGAGCTGCTACACAGGATTTGTACGAGGTACAACTCATTAATGGGAGAAACAATTTATCTGGAGAGGGTACCAGGGAGAGAGGCTGCTGATACTGGATGGAAAATGCTTCTTTTATACTCAGGGGGTAAGAAAAATGTGCACAGCCTAAATTTAGCTGTGCAGACACGAGCTGCAAATTGTTATGGGCGAGACTTTGCGGATCTTTTTTAGGGAAAACCCAGTGATTTAATTTCTTTTTCAAGCTGGATTGCTTGTGTTGGCCAGGAAGAACTACAGCATTCAATTTAGTTTTTGAGGTTAATAGCAGCAAAGGAGGATCTCAGGGTATTTCTGAGCCCCTGCAGAGTTAATGGTCAGGAGCAGTGAAATAGTCTGGGATAAGAATATTATGGTGCCATATTCTGACGTGTGAGAGACTTTCTAAGCTGGTTAAATTTCAGGTAGTGTTAATTAAGCAGCATGAAGGCTTAATAGTTTAAATAAAATGCTGAAACTCAGCATTTCTCTGTTGTTAGTGCTGCATTCAAGATACAGCCAGGTTGGAAACTCTTTAAATAAATAAAGAAATAAATTCATTTGGAGCACACTCTGTATCCTCCCTCTCTCCAGACTCTCTGTCCTTCCCAGCTCTCAGGACAGCTCTGGGGCTGAGCTGGCCACGAGCCTCACACAGATTTTTGGCAGACAGGTGATTTTCACCACTCACTTGTTAAGATGGAAGAAAAAGCCATTTGATGTCATCCCATGAGCCGGAAAAAAAAGGCTTTTAAGCCAAAGCATGGCATTTGCTGTATAATTTCAGATATTTTCTGTTCAGGGGCTGCTGTAAAGCAGTAAAAGCTTTTTTTTTTTTTTTTTTTTTTTTGAGGAGGAGGAAGGGAGGAAGGAGGAGTAGAAATAAATGAGCAGTGTGCATTTGTTTACTTTTTTTCTCCTCAGGATCAACACTTTCAATTTATGGAGGAGCAGAGGAAAACCTGTCCTGATTTATGGGCAGCAGCATCACCAGCAAACCTGAGCCCATCACTGGTCCCACATTTCACCAGGCAGGAACAGGAATGCTGCTGCTTCCCTTGGGGCTCCACAAACAAACCTGGTTTAAAAAAACACCTCATGTTTGCCAAGGAGCATTCCCTGGATTCAGGAGTTCACCAGCATTGATTGCCATCAGCTCCTCCCCACAGGAAAGAGGTCACCCCTTCCCTCATCCCTCTACTCCCATCACTGTTCTCCCTTCTCACCTTGGGATCTTCTAACACAACAATTTCCAGGCAAGTCCCTGGTTTAAAGGCTTTGCTGGAAATCACAAAGCTTCAGGAAAACACAGAGAGAGCAAACACCAGAGAGCAGTTCAAAGGGTGGGTGAGACTGCTGGGATAAACCTGAGGATAAGGATTTTAAGGGCAAAAGCCAAGAGAGATGGAGAGGAGGCTGGAAAGTGCAGTGAAAAATAAACTAGGAGAGAAAGGGATCCCTACACCAGGGAAACAACTTTCCTTTTGGAAAGAAGGAGCTCAGAAAAGGAGTGAAGAGCATAACTAATCAGGAATCAAATCCAAAAAGTAGAACAATTACAAAATGCAAAAGTTGTTTCTCAAAAATGCTCCTCCATAAAGGTGAAAGTTTTGTATTTCAGCTTTATAAAAGGTTGCTTTAAGGACCAAAAAGTCAAATACAGATAAAAAAAAGCGATCTTCCTAAGAAAACCAGATTAAAAATCAAAATGAGGAATCCTAAATGGATCTTGATCTACAAGCACCAGGGCACTTGTGGTGAGGATTCATTTTGTTCTCAGCCCCACTCCTGCCTTTGGGGCAAGCCCAACTCCCCTTCACTCACTCACAAATTTCTCAGACACTTCTAGGACACAAGTGAAGTGTTCACTTCATTCCAGCCCGTGTGTGGAGGATTAAATCTAAATTCACCTGCCCATGAATGCCAATATTTAAGGGATAAGCCTCATGGTTGGCTTTCAACAGACAAGGAAACTGAATTCTCCTGGGAAATTACTCTGCCAAGAGAAAGGAATCCTGATTTTTCAGAGGCTGAACTACATCAACCTTTAAAAAATAAAAATCCAATGTTTTAAACCCAATTTGAGGAAATCCCTCTGCTCCATTTCTTCTACACAATGTTTCTAACTCCCACATCTCCCTCCCTTCCCAAATCCACAGCTTCCCACCAGGCAGGTTGGGGTGGGAGAGGCACAGGCTCACAACTTTCAAACAAAACTCCTCAACTTCTGTAAAAGCTCTGCAGCTGTCCAGGGGTGCTGACCTTCTTTTGACACCTCTCGTTAACTTAATGGGAAGGGAAATCAAAACAAGTGGGATCTGGAGTGAACTGCCAGGCAGGGACCCTGCTGGCTGATTATGGCACAAAAAAAAAAAACTCCCAGGAATTGGTCTGGGCATGGCTTCAGCCTCCCAAAATTGCACAGCAAAGGCTTTTCAGGAGAGTTCAAAAAGCTCCTGGGCTACACTTGCAAACTGCTCAAGGAATGCAAGAAGTTGATTTAAGTTAATGTCAGAACATCCCAAATGAGAGGATTGCCTTCAATCTACACTGGAAACCTCCACGTGGAGCTTTCTGACATTTGCAAAAATCACAGAAAATGAATATTCTCAGTGTATATTGATTTTTTCATTTCTCTTTTCATGGAGTAATGTGAAAAATTATCACCAGCCCGAGTGACCAGAAAATGAGAGCAGGAATATCTGTAAGCAGATTCATCTGGAAATGAATCAACTCCTCTCACACACAAAAATCCCACAGGAGTCCTGGCACTTGAGTTCTGCACAGAACAATTCCCAGTGCCTGGACACCATAAAGGACCAACAGGAAGCCATAAAGACATAAACCTACAAAATAAAACAGGTAACTCCTGGTTTTCCTTCCAGACAGGAATGTAAGATTAAAATTAGCTTGAAAATCAGCTGTGATCCTCAATCAAATGAGATTCTTCTCATTCACTCAAGAAAAGCTTTTTGGGCAGCAGGAACTGTCCCCAGGTCACCTCCACCAGCCCCAAACAGCCACTTGTGCACCACTCCAGAATTCCATTTCTACAGCTTTTATCCCAGGCCAGAATTACAGCTTTTACCTCAATCCAGAACTACAGTTTTTAGCATCACTCATTAACAACTTCTAAATATTGCATTATGATAAGCTATAAAATTTGACTTTTTAAGCAACATTATTAACAAAATTATAGAAATAGTAGTTTTAATCAAGTTTATTCTAGGATTTTAATCTGATGCTGCTAAAACACCTGGAAAAGATGGGCTGGCTGGATAATATTCTAATTCTACCAGAAAACAGCATTTCTGTTCACCTTACAGAGTTTGCTTTTAAACTCCAAGTTTATTTTTCTGAAATGTTCTGACAAAGAGATTCCTACTTCTAGACTCGAATATTTCGTGCCTGAAATATCCAAACACTGATCCATCCCTGTCTCCCACATTAACCCCCTTCCAATCCAACACCAAGCAATGCCAAATGCAAATCCCTTCTGCATTAAAAGATGCAATTGCAATGATATATCCTCCTCCCAGGATATTTATGATATGAACCACAGACATGCAGGCCCTGAGGGAATTATTTTTGTGTACATGAGGAAAAACAAGGGGAGCTGAAGGATTCTTGTAACTGCCACAAAAAGCACTCCAAATTACATGCCTCACTTTTTTATTTACTCCATGGCATCATATGCCCATATACTTACCCTTAAAAGAGGAGTTATAAATGTACCATTGGTTTCTTTTGACTTTTTTTTTTTTTTTGTAATATCATCATCTCCAAGTGCTTCCTGAAGGTCACTGGATGCAAACTACGTTTACTATTAAATTTATAAGTTTGAGAGAAAAGCAATGAAATACATTTGCACTTTTTTCCTTCCCTTTTTACCTTGCCCTTGTCAAAGTAATGGATAATTTCTTGATAGAGCTGATCTTTCAGCTGTCCTTGAGTAGCAGCTTGGTATCCATCCCGCTGGGTAAGATGTGCTGCACATGCTTCTTCTGACCACTAAATCACACAAAAAAAAAAAAAAAAAAGGGGAAAAGTGAAAGCAAATCCAAAGGGATGAGTTCTGAAGTGAAACAAAAGAAAGGGGCTTTATTTAAAGAAGTGGTGCTGCAGTTAATGCACCAACAAAGGGTTTTTTCACAGCTGTGCCCTTTGCTTCCTTGGGCACAAGGAGTATTTATTTGGATGCTCTAATTGGAGGCTAATTACATCTATCAGCTGGAAGGGAGCTTCTGGAGGTGGCTTCCCCTCCTCAGTGAGTTTGAGGAGAGTGACCTCAGCCTGCTGATGGGTACAACCCACTGGGGACACAATGAACATTTCACTTTGTGTGAGACAAAGCCTGGAGCCCAGATCCATCACCACAAAGGGAAGGGCTGCAGGCAGGGACATGAGATGGCTCAAACTCACTGAGGATCTTCAGAGGCAGGGAAAGAATAATTAACTTTATCCAGCCTGTCTGCAATTAGCAGCTCTGGCTTTTCCAGCAAATGCCTGATGGATCAAGGGAAAGATGTCAATCATAGGAACCATGGAATAGTTTGGGTTGGAAAGGAGCTTAAAGCTCATCCCATCCATCCCATCCCATCCCATCCCATCCCATCCCATCCCATCCATGGCAGGGACACCTCCCACTGTCCCAGCTGCTCCAACCCCAATGTCCAACCTGGCCTTGGGCACTGCCAGGGATCCAGGGGCAGCCACAGCTCCTCTGAGCTACTCCCAGATTAATTTCCAGAATTATTGCTACTTCACCTCCTATATATAATTAAATTTCACCCATTCACTTCTTGATTTGGCCAAAATGTTTGTGTTTGGGTCATGCAGACACCTCTGACACCTCTGTTCTGAACTTTGTTTCTGAGCAACACAAACCTGCTGGAGCCTGCAATGTGCTGGCATTTTTTTTCAGCATGCTAAGAGCTGCTATCTTCTGTTAGTTTTGAACACCTCAATTTTGACAAAAAGGGTCGAAAACACATCAAAAGTCTCTTTTCTTGAGTGTGCTTCATCAACTTGCAGTAATTTGGCCTCCCTCTCTCCACAGACAGAGCCTTCTTGCAGATTGAAAGGTGAAATTCTCACACGCTCTCAGTCTTGCCCTCGATGTGATCCCATTAAAATCAGTGGGATGAAATATCTGCCCGTGATGAGTGGCATTGAAAATCCTGTCCTGAGGCTTGACAGAAAAACTCAATTGCTCACTTACACACCCCCCAATATTGCTGCTCCTCAGGCAACACTGAACTCCTCCCTCCACCAAGGGCTGCAGGAGCAGGGATTGAGATAGAGATTGATACACTTTTATAATGAAGTAATTCCAGCCTCTAATGAAATGATACTTAAAAATAAACACCCATTCAGGAATGAAAACCTGGGACAAAGCCCACCCTGGCATTTGCTGTCTGCTATCAATTGGCATTAGAAGGAAATAAAAATGGACATTTCTTCCCATGAAGTTCTTCCCCTGAATTCAAGAGTACATTAAGTGAGACACTCACCTGCTCTCTGAACACATTCCCTAAGAAAAGCCACAACTGACTAAACTCTAATTTGAGGTCACAGAAAGTAAGTTGTCTAACAAGTCCAAGCCATGCCAGGTGAAAATCTGAGTGATGTTTTGTGGCATGGTTTATTCCATCATTTATTCAGCAACACAGCCCTGTGGAAGGGAATGAATCCTTCATCCTGTTCATCCATGTGAAGTGGGCACAGTTCTGCACTCCAGATGAATCTTAGAGATGTCTCCTTGTGTAATAATTACCCTCTAATGATTTTAAAATACAGTAAATACATTTCAGAGTGTCTTAATTTAAATTGCACATGTACACTCTGCATCATATTTAGTCTTTTTACGGCTTGGATGCAGTTTGCTCGACTCTGAAGCACGAATAATTCACAGTGCATCCATCAGAAGATCTCATGTAACACCTTCCCCTTTTCAACTTTCCAAAATAGATATTTGACACTCACACTTTGCTGGGGATTGCTGAAATTAAAGGCAGGATTGTTAAGAACATTTGGATGCTGAGGAAGAGATGCAGTTCCTGGATGAAGAGGGGCACCATGAGCACAGCAGAATGCAAGAACACAATCCCAGGCTGCTCTGGGTGGGAAGGACCCTAAAGCCCATCTGGTTCCATCCCTTCCATGGGAAGGGAAACTTTCCCTGGATCAGGAGGCTGCAATTGACCACTGGAATGAGCAGGAGATCAAAGGGGAAATGAAATTCTCATTTATTGTGTCCCTGACTCTCTGTCCCTGGGGGTGTTGTGTCCTTGAGGGGAGTGGAAAGAGATCCAGCACTCCCTGAGGGAGAAAGGTTTCACTGCAGGTTGTGAAATGTGAGGAAGACAAACAGGACTAAATCAAACTCTCCCAAAACCTCTAATTCTTATCACACTGAGATTTTTACTTTTCCCATTAACTGCTTTTCAAAATTAAATCATAAACCTAGGAATTCAGTGATGATTCAGCTGTATTAAATGGGATTTCATGACACAAGTGTCTGCTGGCAAGAGCAGCATCCTCCTAAATGACAGCCAGGAGAGCAAAGTGGGTACCTGCTCCCACATTTGTGACGTGAGCACATAAAAAAGCTGCATGTTAGAGACAATATCTTCTCTCCAGAATGTTTTCAGGGAGATTTAATGCTTCTGAAGTACAGCTTCACTCCATTTCTGGCTGGCACTGGATAGTGTTAAACACTCAAATGCTTTCTTTCAGGCACTTTCTGCAGGTAACACGTTATTTGTGCACTTTGCAGGCTACACCAAACATTCCTTGGAGAGGAGCAACATTGCTGTGCCTCTTCAAATGTGCTATAAACTGGGTAACCCTGCATTGAAATGGTATGAACCTCTGAAAGGCATGAACTTGCACAGAAGGCCATTTGAATCTCTCTACAATTGTCTGAAATCCAAGCTGCAGCAGTTACTGACACCCAAGAGCACTCAAGAACAAAAGATTTGTGGAGAGCTCATTTACTAAAATATCTGGTTAGAGGCTTTCACATAGTGTACAACCTTGGGTATTTGCAGTTTGGATTTTGTGGTGCTGACTTGACCACGTTCCCTTCACTCCAGCTCAAGATCCACCTCTGGCATGCAGTGAAGTGTTGTTTTCCTCTGTGTATGAACTCCATGTGCATAACAGAATCCAGCACAGAGCTGTTCATCAGCTCAAACATCTCCTGGCTGGCTGCTGCTGGGATTCCCCAGAGCCAGGATGTGTTTTGGGGTTTACCTTGAGGAGTTTTGCATGCAGGAGTAAAGTGTAGGCAGCCTCTGTGTAGTTATCACACTCCTTGTGCAGGTCACACAGCTTGTACAGGTACCTGCCAGCAACACAAACAAGGGCTCTTACAAACACTGGCTTTAAGATGGCACTCAGTAATTAATTTTGAACATCACAAGTCTATCTTCAAACAAATAAATTATTTGTGGGATTGGTTAAAGTTCCCATTTCTGTGTGCAGACAACCTTTAGGACCATTTGCGTTTTCACTGTGTTGTTTTTAATGGACACTCGGGGAACCATGGGATCATTAAGGTTGGAAAAATCCTCCAAAATCATCGAGTCCAATCTTTGACTGAACACCACAAGAATGATTTGTGGTGAGTAATAAATCCAATCTACACTTTGTGAAAGAGAGAACTCTTATAGTTCAGCTATGGTGACAGAAATTTTCATTCTTTAACTTCAGTATCATCACACCTCAGGCAGGGGAGTCTCTTCATTTGTTTTGATGATTTTTACACTGATAATTAAAAAATATCCCCACAGAACTATTAAAAATTGTATTTTGCAAAAGCCAGTGAAAATATTTTCAAGTTTGATATTCATTATAAGTTTGTAAACAGAAATTGGAAAGAATTTGGATGGGGGTTTCACAGTGAGAGACAATTTGTCCTTACAGAGATGCTGAACAGGGCAGACCTGAATAATAAGAAATAACTTCATGTGTTTGTCTGCAATTATCAATCCTGCCATTTCCTATTCTTTTTGCAAACTTTTAAAAGACCAATTAAAACCATTTACACAACAGGAAGAGAGTTCACAAGTGAAAATTCTTCTGAAAAGATAACGAGCACCCGAGAATGAATAATGAGATACCTAAAATAGCATTACAAACACAAACTTCATCATTTTAGCACAACAGTTTAAGCCAAAGCACAAATGGGGGCTGTGAACCCTGAGGTTTACAAAAAGCATGATATTTCCACATTTACTTGGTCTAAAAGGAGATTTTGAGAGCTTTAAGTTTAAAATAAGTATCAGGCAGGTATTATTTAATAGTTGTTTTTATTCCAAATCACATATTTTGTACCTCACCAGGAGGCAGCATCATTTCTATGCTCAGCCTTTGCTTTAATTTGTTTTCTTCATCACCAGAAGAATTCTGGCTCCTGAGTATTTCAGTGCTCATTGTAATGGGACTGAAGGACTTGGAGAAAGGGGACAGAGATAATCTCCTGACTGGCACTTCCAGCACTCTGTTCTCAGTGCAGATAAGCTTTTGAATTACTTCAGGTTCAGCCAAGGTGTGATTTTTCATTACTCTTCTCCTCCAGCCCCCAAGTGACTGCTTAATATGAACTTAATTTCCCCAATTACGGAGCCTGTGTCAGGCAGTTTGTCACCAGTCATGTTTACAAACCTTATGTACATCTCTTCCCTCTCGATCTCCTTGTAGAAATTCTGAAAAACAACATAATTTGGTTACAAAGTCTTTGATTTCACACTTTGGAATGTACACAGAACATGCTCCATATTAAAAAATTCATAATTGCGTGACATCAACCTCCAAACTGCAAAATGAAATTTGCCTGCAGTGATGGAACACAAGTTATTTAACTCAGAAAATCAAATGCTGGGATGTTTCATGTTGCAGTGGTTTAGGGCTCCTGTCTCATTGCAAAGGTTAAGAATTTGCAAGAACAATAGTGCTGGAAATTTGCTGCTGGCATTTGCATGTCACACATCATTACCCATTTTCAGCTGAAAATCATCTAATATACAACAAACCCGTCATTTTTAAGCAACAGTTGTTCTATGGATTGAAAACTTCAAACCTTAGTTGAGAAATACATCACCTGCTCTTGGATTCTAGCAGTTTCCTTGGAAATAAAAAGTTAGATTAGTGTTATTTATCTGGTTTCATATGTCACATATGAGCATCGCTCTCCTCTCAGTGCCTCCAGCCTTGAGATAAACTGGTTAACAGTGCAAATATTGTAAATGCAAAATATGATAAACCAGGGGAGAGATTCAAGGCATTTCTGAATCTAATTTCAAGTTTGCCTCCAAAATCTATAACATACCTAAGAAAACAAAATACAAAGAAATTCCTTCCTCAGTGAATTAAATATATTTCAATGCTAAATTAAAGAAGTTAGAAGAGGTATTAAAAGAGCACAAAATCAGAACTGAAAGAGGGATAAATCCAGTATACAAGTGATCCCTTAAAGAGAACTGGGCTCCATTCCCTTCTCCATCAGCACTGGCTTAAGTGCAGATCAAACTCTCCAAGTCAAACTACCCTCAATGCAGACAAACTTAATCCCAGGAAAATCTCAGGATCAATAAAGTCCCAATTAGGAACTCTTTGGGACCTCATGTGAGAATTGTGCTGAGTTTCAGCCACGGGCTGGATTTTTGCAATGGCCTGAATTTCACTTCAGATACCTGGAGAATGATGAAAAGGCTGAGTGAGCCCTGGAGGGGAAAATGGGAGTGTAACACCAAGCTCAAGTTTGAAATCACAGCAACTGAAAGGGACAGAAAATTCCTCCCTGTGCCACTTCCTGGCATTTCCAGGGGACTCCAGTGGATCTGTGCTTGGTGTCTCACAGTGACTGAACCTGACAGCAGCACCTCACCCACAAAATCCATCCTCAGCACGAACCCAGCTGCCAAAAGCCAGCACCAGCAATGCTGCTGGGAGACACCTGGAGCAAACAAACCCAACCCCAAACGTTCCACAGCTCCTCCATGGGGATGGTGAGAAATCCTGGCTCCAAGTGTTCTGATGAAGGGAAGGAGAAACAACTTCACCTTCCCAAGGAAATGCCCCCAGTGTGACACAGTGAGGTTTGTTGTTTGCCATCCTGCTTGGGAGAACTGGCAGGGTTTTTGGGATTACCAGGGTTCTGCTCAGGAGGACACCATGACCTTTCTGCAGGCAGCCCAAGAGCATTTGTTCCATCCCCAGCTGCTGACAAGTCCCCAAGTCCCTCCTCTTTGCCCGTTTCCCAAACATTCTGATGCTTTCTGATGTGCAAAGAGAGCAAAAACAACCTAAAAAGAAATGCCCAGTTTTTGGATTTGATGCCTCCATCTCCTCTCGTGCTCCAGTGGGCACTGTGTGTTTATGGCTGAGGAGATGGGGTGGTGTAAAGGCTGCACTGCACGAGGCCAGGGCTGCACCAGATGCAAAAAAAAAAAAAAAAAAAGCTAAAAAACTACATTGTATGCAAAAAAAAAAAAGAGCTATAAACTATTAACTCAGCTCTTTCCTCAACAAAACCCATCAGCCAGATCACACAAATGATAAACACTGGCTGTGCCTCATGTATTTAAGCAAAATCAAAGCTTTGATGATGATCTGGGGAGGAAAGCTTGGAATCCTCAGTGGCAAACAGTGCTGGTGGAAAAAATTAAATTTAGTTCATGATATTTTGGTGTTTCTGGAAGTTATTTTTCATGGGTGCTGATTTCTGGGTTGTAAAATCTCATTTTCTGAATTTTCACCAAAGACCATGATGTGTGTGAGTACAATGGGGTGAGTTTGCAGTGATTTTTTGGGTGATTTTGCAGTGATTTTGTGGTGATTCTGCAGTGTTTTCATAGCGATTTTGTGGTGATTTTGTAGTGATTTTTTGGCTATTTTCGGGGTTATTTTTGTGGTGATTTTGTGGTGATTTTTTGGATGATTTTGCAGTGATTTTGTGGCAATTCTGCAGTGGTTTCACAGAGATTTTGAGGTGATTTTGTAGTGATTTTTTGGGTGATTTAGTGGCGATTCTGCAGCGGTTTCACAGCGATTTTGAGGCGATTTTGCAGTGATTTTTTGGGTGATTTTGCAGTGATTTTTTGGGTGATTTTGCAGTGATTTTTTGGGTGATTTAGTGGCGATGCTGCAGCGGTTTCACAGCGATTTTGAGGCGATTTTGCGGTGATTTTTTGGGTGATTTTGCAGTGATTTTTTGGGTGATTTAGTGGCGATTCTGCAGCGGTTTCACAGCGATTTTGAGGTGATTTTTAGCAGTGCTCACCAGCACGTTGACGGTGCAGCTCATGCGGTTCTCCTTGTTCTCGTCGTGCATGATGGTCCTGTAGTCCAGCAGCCTCTCCATCAGCCTCACCACCAGCTTCACAAAGGTCTCCCCACTCTTTGCCAGGTACTTGTGCTTCCTGCAGTGCTCCAGGAGACTGAAAAAAACCAATTAAGTTCGCCTTGTTAATCACCGAGAAAAACCTTGACTCAGGTGCGGTTTTAAATATTGCGCCTCGTTAACAGATTTTAATTATTTCTGGGCTACAAAGTTCATTGTAGTCTAATTGCTCTCTCTCCTGACTTCCCCGTGACATAAATTTTGCTGCTGATCAACACTTACATTTTGTCAAATAACACTTTGTACTGCTCATCTCCACGGCCTCCTTCCACTTCGTGATCCAGTTTGGTGATGATCTCGTTCTCGAACTGTAATTAAACAAAGCAAGCGTAAATAATCAGCTGGCAAATATTTCACTTTATTACTGTGGCCTCAATGCCTCACAGATTGGTTGGGTGCCTTGGTGAGACGTTTAGCCCCTGCTTTAAAGCTTGATTGACTTTTAGAGTTTGCAGTCTCTGGTTTTAGACTCTCCACGATGATCTCCTGCCCTACAAGGACTTCTTTGGTTAAAGGAATCGTTGCTCGTGTTGTTAAATGAAGTAGAAATAAAAATTACAGGAAACTAAAGAGTGAGATTAATGACAGGAATTGAGGGCACCGAGAAAGAATGTCCCCAGCAACAGAATTAAACACAAAAATGCTGGAAGCTCTGTGAGAAAGGAAAGGCAGCACCTGAGGCTGGATAACCCTGCTGGGTGCACCCCCCAGCACCCCTGACACCCCCTTTGAGCACACAGACACTGACTGGAGGACAGCACCTGATAAAGCTGTTAATAAACCCTGCAGAAAGAAAGGGAGGAGTTTCAAACAACTCCAGAATTCTTTTATTTGGGCAATATTAAAGGAATACAAACCTTAGTGGCCATCAGAATATGCTTTAAATGCAAACTGGGTAATTCCCTGGATTTTTAACCATTACAGAGAGTTTTAGCTGTTGCTGCAGGGAATGGATGTGGATTGTTAGTGGAGGAAGGTTCACTCTGGGCCTTCTGCTCTGTAAGGAATCAGTGAAGTCACCAAATTCCTAATTCTTCATTAAATAAGCACAGACAGCACAGGATTAAAGAGAGAGATCTCAGCAGGAGAGGCTGGGTGAGCTGGGAGCCCGTGGCAGGGGAATGGGAGCCCAATGCTCACAGTGGGAGTTTGGTGACAGAACAGATGTCACCAGGTTTTTTCACTGTCACTTGCTTAAGCCACCCCTAAGAACGCTGAGGAGAAGCAAAGAACAAAGAGTACCAACATTTTGTAAATGTCAAGAGATGTACTTTGCATCTGCAGGTGATATTAACAGCACATAATGTACCCATGGAGAAAGAATGGATTGGCTGGATCATAAAATATTCTGGGTTGGAAGGAACCAGCCCAGCTGCTGTCCCTGCACAGACACCCCAACAATCCCACCTTGGGTCTCCCTGTGAGCTTTGTCCAAACTCTCCTGGAGCTCTGGGGCTGTGCCCATTCCCTGGGGAGCCTGGGCAGTGCCAGCACCCTCTGGGGATGAACCTTTCCCTAAAATCCAACCTAAACCCCCCTGACACAGCTCCAGCTGTTCCCTCAGGTCCTGTCCCTGGTCACAGTGAATACAATGAATCCATTATTAAAATAATGACAGGAAAATGAGAAAAGGCAGGATAATGCAATCCACCCCCTCCCAGAACCAAACAGGTTCCCACAGTAGCAGAGCCTTGAGTCAAACACTGAAACAACAAAATGATGAAACAGAGAAATCACAAAAATCCTGTTCCCTAATGAGCCCAGAAAGAAATTGACTTTCTAACCCAATGTGAAAAATGACACTTGCTGCCAGCCCCAGCCCTTCAGGTGATGTATTTTTTAGGAAAAGATTATTCAGACAGAGGAGAGCAATTACATTTGTCATGCAGGATCTCTAAGATCTTCCCACTATCAGGTTTATTTAAATCTCTGTAAATCCACTCTTTGTTGGGCCATTTCCCCTAACAGCCTCTTGGGCTGAACAGAGCCAGACTTGTGGCATTTTGGGGGTTTTAAGGATTATTAACAATATCTTTGCTCTTTAGTCATTCCTGATATTTCTCATGGAGTTGCTGTGAAGCAGATCGTAGCAGCCAGATGAATAAATGTTATTTAACATCAGTTAAAAATTCCTTCTGTGGTCTTCCCACAGAGGAAGGTTTTATCAATACCAGCTGAGGTTTATGGAGCTTTGGAGGTTTATCATTTCCCATGATGGGAGCAGGAATGTGACCCTGGAGCTGCACAAGCCAATGGTTCTGGGACACTGCACCTGGCATCTGTTGATAAAACTCCATTTTTCCTTTCCTCTCTCTTTTTTCTTTTCCCTAATGCTTTTTTTTAAATAAATGCATTACATTTAATTTAATGCATAAATAAGCCAGCAATTATTGTGATGGGATTTAGTCTCAACTGAAGAAGTGCCAAATCTCCAATGTTTCCATTAGAGCCAGTGCCACTTGCTGAGGCTCTTTGTGGAGGCTGAGGGGGAACATCTGCACCACCAGTGAGCCACACTCACATCCTCCTGCTGACACTGACAGCTTGAGGGGTGATACCAGCAAGATTACAGGACATTTTTAGCCACTTTTCCTCACAGCTGATCAAGATCTCAGCTTCTCTTCAGGATGAGTTTGAACTTGAGCAAAGAGCATATCCAGTGACCATCTCCTACCTGGAGCAAATAAATCAGGGGAAGCCATCTCATGTCAACTCAACTGATCACTTTTGGGCTTGGATTTACCTCAAGGAAGACTGAATTTGTAGCACTGGCTGACAAGTTAATTTTGCTGTAGATGAGGAGGACTTCCAGCCCTCCAAGCTGCTATAAATTCATTTTGATGTGGGCTAATAATAATCTGCCATATAAAATTCAAGTGACAGATCACACCACCAGAAATTAGTCCTAATGCAGAAATGGCACAAAAGTACAGCAAAACTTTGCTCAGAGGTTTTTATCAAAGTTGATGGTTATTCCCAATGGTTTCATCTGTTCTCTTTCCCATTTTTCCACAGCATTCCTGCTGGGAAGGGCTGGAGCCATTCAAAATGCTGGGATCATTTTGGAGGCCACTGTATTACCTTTGTTCCTTGCTTCCAGATGGAGGGACAGAGGATTATTGATATTTTCCAAAAGACCAGAAACCAAGAAAAACTTACACGTTTACACTTCAACTGTAGATAATTAAAAAACATTACTTAATGAAACTAATCCTTTGTGGGGGATTAGTTATTTGGATTCGAATGTTTACTGGGATCACAGGAACTGGGAAAGTCATTTACTTGTGTCCTGTCTGCAAATCCACAGCACAGGGAAAGGGGACGTTTACCCAGGGCTCAGAAGGGGTATAAAGAATTATGGGTTCTGAAAGCCAAGAGAGATTCAGATAAACTAAGGAAACTTTTGACTAAGGGGAATTAAATCCCTTTGAAATTCATCAATAACCAGCATGTGAAAATCAAAATGCTGGTGTGACTGTTTGGTGATATTGAGATTTCTTGTTAAATGTCAGAAATGGCCTCAACTCCAAACAAGCAGAACAGGTCCAGAAAAGGTGACTTAAAATTGATGCAAAGAGTGCTGGTAGGAAATGAGGAATGAAGCCACAGCTGGGAGGGACAGGCAGTGACACCAGGAGCTCTCCATGCTCCACATTCCACCTGAAGGGCTGTTCCACCTGAAGGGTTGGGGTTGTTTCACCTGAAGGGCTGTTTCACCTGAAGCTTTCCCTCCTGTTGTCACCACAGGATCCATGCACTCACCTGAGCAGGCCATGAACAATCAAACCAATTCTCTTTCATCACTGCCATGGCTCTGAAAAATTCCCTTTGATCCAGAGGCTCAAAAATTTCATTTGATACTGAAACCAAGGGGAGAAGGAGGAGTTTCCTTCCACAGGGAAGCTGCAACCCCACACTGTTTTTTAGGATGGAATTTTAGGAAGTTTTGAGGTCCAGGCTACTTTGAAGTCTTATAAGGCTTCAGAGGGAGAGGACATAATGGGCAACTCCAGTTTTTAATTCATGCAGCCTTAATATAGTTCTTAATATAAAAAAGAAGGGAAATTTATCCTGTTCTGTCTCTAAATACACTGGGAGAAGAAAAAAAAACCCAAACCCTTCTGTCTGTTCCTGGTTTTACCCAAATCCTCCTGAAATGAAAACCACCACAAAGGGAAAGTTGCCTGTTTACCACACAAACCATCACAGCATGGGGAGCCTGCAAAAAAACTGCAGTTCCTCCCCCACAAATCATGAGGTTGATACATCTGCTGGAGAAGTGGAGCCAATCTAAACCCTTGTTGATGTGACTAATAAGGTTAGATAATTGGATTTCTGGCAGATTAGTTTAACAGCAGCCAACCATGCCATTTGAAAGTTCTCTCTGGAAGCAGTGCTGGACAAGGATAATTGGTACTTGCATATAAAGGATATAAAGCTGCACATTACATCGACCCATTAAGCATCAAAGCTTGCCTAGGTACTGGTAATATTAAAAAAAAAAAAAAAAATCTACTTCTATCACTTCAACACAAAAGAGACAAAAAACTGAGTGAGGAATCTACAGACCAGTCAGCCCCACTTCAGCTCCTGAGGAAACCACAGAGCAAGATCTCGTGGAAGGTTTTCCAAGAACACAAAGGGCAAGAAGGTGACTGGAAAAAGCCAATTTACCAAGCTGAAATTAAAAAAAAAAAAGTGTCCCCCTTCAATGGAACCTAAATATGTCCTGGATTGCACCAGCAAGAGCATGGCCAGAGCAGCAACAGGAACTATTGCACTTGTTGAACCATGGCTGGAATTCCAGGCCTGGCTCTGATCCATCAGCTTAGAGAGACCCTGACAAGCTGGAGGTGGTCTACAAGAGGGTCACCAACATGGGCACAGTGCTGCAGAACCTGCACTGGTTGAAGGAATTGGGTTTGCTCAGCCCAGAGAAAATCCAACTCAAACATTCCAACAACTAAAAGGTGCTCAGAGAGGAGATGGAAGCAGAAACAGGCACAAGCTGATCCAAGGAAATTCCACAGGGAAATAAAAAGCAGAAAGTCTGAATCACAGAAACCTGGAATGGCTGGGGTTGGAAGAGACCTTGTATCATTCCAAAGCCCCTGCCACAGGCAAGGACACCTTCCAAAGGCCAGGATTAAACACTGGAATAACTCATCAAACAACCCTCACTGGAGATATTCCAAACTGAGCTTCAGGTGCTCCCAGATAACCCAACCTAAGGCCCAGATTTCTTCCAGAGGTCCCATCCAGCCTAGAGTTTCCTTTAACCCTCTGCTCTTCTGCCTGTGGCTTCCATTTTTTATGCCTGTGATCTTCTTTTCATCTGCCTGTGGTTTTTCTTTTTTTCTGCCTATGATCTTCATTCCCCAAAGGCCAACCTGAGCTATTCAGCAAACTCAGAACTGCATGATCAATGGACAGATTGATTATTCCTTGTGGGATGTGGCTGGCTCCTCCAAAATCATAGAAAAGGGGGTTATTACCTCTGCACCTGTTTTATCATTGCTACAGCCATAAAGAAGCTACACTGCCACAGGGAATACCATGTCAAATACAACCCCAGACATCTCTGACTTGAGGACGAGGCATTTTTCTTCTCAAATGGCAAAAAAAAAAAAAATCCAAACTCTAAGTGAAATATTTAAGACATTCATTTGTTAAAATCAGCCAACTATTCCACACAAAGCTGGTTTCCTTCTGTCAGGAAAATTGAGGGCCATAAATTTAGCTATAAAGTTACCCTCGGATTTTTCATGATCTATATAATTGTGCAAATAAAAAATGACAAGCAACAAAAGAGAGCATCTGACAGGAAACTGTTTAAATGGCATCCCAGCGAGCATTTCAATCTTTACAGTAGCACTGGAGTCAAACATGAGAAAAAATGATTATGCAGTAATTGGATGAAGCCAAAACACAGTTCACAACCTCTCCACACACCATCCAGCACAAAACAAATCAAAGCAATAAAGCTGATGCCATTTCCCTTGCTTAAGCCTCCCCACGCAGATTTTCATTTACTCTGCCTACAGATTTATTAAGAGCTGCTCCTCAATAGCAGTTCACAAGAAAAGGTATGGGAAAGGATAAGGTTGTTCATCCAAGAAAGAAATCTGCCAATAGAAAGGGGGAAAAAAGCAAACAACACATGTCAAGCTTTATTGCAAAATTCACAAGGTCATATCCTGAACTGACAGCAATCTCAGTGGGAAGGAGCTCCTCTGGCTTAGTCCAAACCCTAGCTGGCCTAACTAGTCTTAAACTCAATCCATAAGTAAAGTTTCAAGGGAAGCAATGTCAGATGAATGATATCAGGAAACTTTCTTTCACTTCACTTGTCTTTCAAAAGTTGAAGCTATCAGGAAAAGATGGTGTGTGTGTGTGTGTGTGTGTGTGTGTGTGTGTGTATTCAAGGGCTCCCTTCAGCAGGTTCAAATAAAATAGAATAAAAATGCTCCATTACTATTTGAGATTTTGCAGTGCCTGTAGAGCAAGAAGAAGCACTGACAGTGCTGGATTGTTTTTTTCCTCTCTTCAGAATCCATAAAACAGTAAGGAAAATCAGAATTATAAGAGAGTAGAGATGATAAATCCTTACAGGTTATACTTTTGCCACATTACCAGGCTTCCTTTATGTCCCATTTATCTCAGGAGCAAACTCCTTGTGTGAGTCACAGTGACAATTTAAGACATCTGTCTTTACTCCTGTGCTATAACTGAAGGTTTCATTTACTACATGCAAATTTCTCCTTCAATAACCACTTCAAACCAACAGATGAAAACTCCACAGCCCCTCGGGACTTAGAGGAAATAAGCAAATCCATAATTATATTATTCTTTAGAAAAATGGGAAATAACAAAACTCCTCGTGTTTTGTCAAAGAACAGCCAGATCTTCCTCACTTTAAATATGTGCAGCTCTCTGCTTACCCTCTGGAAGCTCCTGGTGGAGTGGAATTCACACTGCATCATGTCAAAGAAGATTGGGATCGTGGCTTTCCTCAGCTCTGTTTCTGGGATCAGCGTCATTTCCAGGATAGGCCCCACCATTTCTGGGATGAACTTGATTTTATGCTGGCCTTTAGGAGAAAAGATGCATTTCAGAGTGAACAACTGTGGCAGAAGATGTAAAAGCTGTATTAATAAATCCTCATGGAGCGTAACAAAGCATGTTTTAATATCTGGCTCCACTGAAACATTTTTTTATTATTCTTATTCATTTGATGATGATGATGATGATGACCACCATTATAATTATTAATTCCACAGGAGATAAGCATTGTCTAAATCCAAATCAAGAGGAGTTGTTGAATCAGTCGTCAAGCTGGGAGTCGCCACATTTCCCACTACAGATTTTCACACCCAAATTTCCAGGTTTTATTTTAAAACACAATGTGTGGCTGGCAGGCAGGGAGGCTAAAAGGCACATCACTTGTATTAACTTATTTAGACTCCAGTGTGAACAAAATGTTCTCGGTGTCAGTCTATCAAAATGTCACCACGAGTGCAGCCTAACAGAGCCTCGAGACATGAAAGCACAGCTCAGCCAGCCTACAATATGTCTCCTTTCCTTGGAGCTCAGCTGCCTGCAAAACCTGATTGCAGATTTAACTTCCCAAGAGGAAGCTGCTCCTCCCTCCATCCCTGCCCTGCTCCACACAGGGAAGGAAATTAAAGCCTAGCAGGAGCGTGGCACCTAATAAATACTGGCCTGGGAAAAAAAGAGCAATTATTGCAATGTATTACTGCCTAAATGGATGCAGAGTGTGTGTGCTGCAAATGATCTGGTGAATAAATCCATGGAGAGATCAACAGGATGGTTGGAGCTGGGAGTGGCATTGAAGTTCATCTAGTGCCACCACCCCTGCCATGCAGGGACATCTCCACTATCCCAGGTGGCTCCAGCCTGGCCATGGGCACTGCCAGGGATCCAGGGGCAGCCACAGCAAATCTGGGCACCCTGTGCTGGTGTTTCATCACCTCACTCTACAATGGTGCTGGACCTGCTCAGCCCTGAGAGCTGCAGGCAGAAGTTTAGGAAACACAAACACAAACACAAATCCACTTCTCCATCTGCAACAGGCTGGGATGCACTGGCAGCTCAGGCCAGAACTGGAGATGCTCCTCACAAATGCTCTTTAGGGATGCTCACAACCAGGTTCAAACACTATTTCTATGCCCAGTATTGTGCTTCAGACCAGATTCTTTGCAGTTCAGTCCTCAGTTTCCTCCAGCTCTCAAATTCTTGCTTCCCACTGCAGTCACCAGTGGTACAGGACCAAAACAGATTTCAACTCATTTTTATTCCACTGCACTACACCACTGTGACAGTAACCAGTGAAGTCTTTAATTGGTAGTTTCACTTTGACCAGAACTAACATAAATCTCAACAAATGTAATCAAGAAAAATCCTTCACCACCAAAACATGCTCCTTTCTTTTAGCAGATATAATTTAAGTTCCTTGATTTGGCAAACTCCCGAATCCTATTAGCATTAGCAAGAGGATCAGGGCAAATTAATACTCAAGGAAAACGGTGACTTTGGGTGCTGCTGCAGTGCTGGGGGCTGCTCAGGAATATCAAGTGACAGACCAAAAGCTTCCCTCAGTCTCCTACAAGGATTATTACACTGGGCCTCTCAGGTGACAGATTTCTTGTGTCATGCCTGAGCAGTGTCAGAGCCAACGCTGCAGAAAACAAATAACAGTGACAAAAGTTGTTCATCACTGAACACTCTGAGCTCTCCCTGTGCCACAGAGGGTTTCTCCATTGCCTCAAGCACAGGAATTCCCTCAGAAGAGGAACATCTTTTGAACTTGAGATGTGAAAAATCCACACAAGATTGGAATCTTTGATTTGGTGACGATCTGTTTGCAGCTCTCTGGGGGAAGCCCCTGGAGTGGGAGCCCTGGGTGATGGCATGGTGGTGACACGCATGGGTTTGCTGTGACAGTGTGATCCTGGGAGATGTTGAGCCACCAAAGAAAGCACTGGGAGCAAAGCAAAAAGGGAAACAATCCTCCCTTGTCCCCCCGAGGCATCCACCCCCTGTCTGATAAACAAGCCAGCAAGGAATTCACCTTTTCCCTCTCCAAGGGAGTGTGGGAACTCCCACACAGAGACTCCAAATGTGACAAGTCTGGGAGAAAATTGAGGAGTCTCTTCTGAAAACCAACTTGTGCAGCTGCTTTAGGAAGCACATGCACAAAAAGCCACCTTTGAACATGCAAAACCTTTCCCTTGCAGCATCTTGTGCCTGGCCATGGGATGAGCTCCCACAGCAGGAAGGGATCTCATCACAAACCAAACCCAAGGTGCTCTCCTTGCTGTGATTCTCATTTCCCAGACTCTTCCCATCTCAATTTGGGCCCCACAAACCTGTGAGTAATTTGCCAGCAGCCTGTCCTGTCCCCTGGGCTGGCTGGGAACACGCCTGACTAATCCAGAGAGGGTTATGTGTAATGACTTCTATTTATGTAACACCCAAAGTTCAGGGCTATTTTTAACCCTGCCCTTCCCTCCAATGACATCCAGGGCCTGTCGAGACACCTTTGGTGACGTCAAGCCCTGGCAGGGATGGTGGCACTTGCTGGAGGACATCAGCAACCACTGCCCTTCACCTTGAGGGGTTTCTCCTCTCCATCTCCCCCCGGCTGGTTCAGACATCACCAATGGCAGCGTTGTCACCTTTCCCACCAGGGTGTCACTGAAATGTCACCACAATTCCTCTGCCACTCAGCTGTGGGACATTAACCACTGCACCCCCGGGCACACGACCTCCTGTCAGGTTCTGGGGTTCTGCTGGATAAATCACAAAACCCTTTGCAGTGTGTGGTTTTTGAGTTCTTGCATTTCCAAGACAGGCCACGACCTGTTTGATGTTTTTTTTGATGCTTAATGTCTCAGCAAGGTTTGAGAAGCCCCAGTTTCAACAAAACAGTGACTCAAAGCAAGACATTTTAAAGTTCAGGTTGTGGTATGGAAGGAAAAAAGCCTCTAAAGTGCTGTTATACATTATAAATGTTCTTTTTTTCCTGCTTATAAAAATGAGGAAGATGTGACTACTGAGCCGCCCTTTGCATCAGAAACAGGCAGCCAAGTAAAAACTTTAAGAATTCTTATTTTACTATTTAATTTCAGGAAAAAAAATTATACTTTTAAATGTGCATTATAGCTGGAGGACTGCCTTATTCCCAGCTGGGGACTTTTAACTCAGCAGGCATCGTGTGTTAATAATGGTATTTAGAAACAAAACCTGATGAGACAAAATATTCATTTTTGAGGCTTTTTTTATACCCTTCAATCTATAAATCAAAAGTCAGGGTGGTTTGATTTCATCACATCTCATGCACAATGGCACAGGCATAAAAATCCTGTGCTCCAGGATTTCAGCCTTTCACTTCTGATTTGGTTTCTGAACATACACATGAATAATTTGATTAATGCAGTGTAGCTTCCAAGATAAAAGTGTCAGGCACCCCCCAATCGATTCCCATGCAGTGGGAAGTTGGAATTCCTTCTTAATGGATGCTGTGACACAGATGGGACTGGTGAGGAGCCAGAAGTTAAACCTGATCCATGAGTTTACCATGGACTCTCCGTGTGACAAAGATGAGGAAAATCAAGGTGCTGCTCAGGAGAAGCACAAAGGCTGCCTTGGACTGGGGTCCTGTCTCACATTTACCTCTCTGTGCCAGCTTTTCTTGGGAAGAACAGCAATTTCCTCACTCCCTCCACATGGGGGATTTTGGCATTAATGTTCCCATTAATGGATCATAGAGAATCACAGATATTAGAGCTCGAGGAGGTCACAAGGCATCTTACCTGGATAATCCACATTTATAAAAAATCCATTGAAAATAAAAGGCTTTCATGACAGCACAGAAAGAAATATTGAAGAAAACACTACCCCTTGTGCCAATCGATTCCCAAAACTCCAGGGGAAATTATTATCCTTGTTAATGGTGAGAAACTGAACCCTGGAGCAACTAAATAACCTGGAAAGAGCAGCCAGTGACAGCAGCAGCAGTGAAAGGCACAGTGCACTCCACAAAGCCCAGCCTGCATAAAACAACCTCACTTAACAACAGCTGGATGGAAAAGTCTGCAGCAAACATTCCACTTTCAGCCTAGTAAAGGTTAAGAATTGATAACAATCCAGAGATCAGAAATACCAGTGAGGAGAAAAGGTGGCTGTGTGAGCTGGGAAGGGGCTCAGCCTGGAGAAAAGGAGGCTCAGGGGGGCCCTTGTGGCTCTGCACAACTCCCTGACAGGAGGGGACAGCCGGGGGGATTTGGGATCTGGGAACAGGGACAGGAGGAGAGGGAACGGCCTCAGGCTGGGCCAGGGGAGCTCAGGGTGGATATTTGGGAAAATTCCTTCATGGAAAGGTTTGCCAGGCCTTGGAACTGCCCAGGGAGGTTTGGAGCCCCCATCCCTGGAGAGATTTAAAATCCATGTGGAGGTGGCACTTGGGGACATGGGGCACTGGTGGCCTTGGCAGTGCTGGGCTGACCTCAACCTTTTCCAACCTTAACAATTCCATGATTCCACGACTGTGGCTCTGGAAGAGGAAAGGATTTGGCTAATTACTCACCCAGAGGCTGCCAGCAGCCCACGCTGGCTGATGCAGCAGCAGGCACGACACTGATTTTATTACCTGCCTGTCAAGTCACATCTCAGTCGTGCACTAAACTCTAATCTGTTCTCCAGACACTTAATTCACCAAAGATGCTTCTAATAAAAGTGGACTCAGCTGCTCTCTGAAGCCTTTCCTCATCATTCCAGCAGATAGGATGCAAATTCTGTGATATCAAATACTTATGAACCCTTGGCACTCTCTTCTCTCGGAGATGCTGAGGTTTTTCAACTCTCAGCAACAACAGCTCAGGCAGAGACAGAAGTGAAGTGGCAAACACGTTTATTTCTGATCATTGAAGGAAGTTTTGATAAAACTCAGAAGAGCTGAAGTGTCTGTGCTGTTAAGCTCAGGAAAATGAAATCTGGCAGACGAGTACACCCAGGTCACAGTAAATGCTCAGTTTCTCATGAAATTTAATCCCTGTACAGGCAAATTATACCCAGAGAGCAGCCCAGGCTGCAGAGAGGCAGAGCTGCCTCATTTACCTACGAGCTCCAGGGAGCTCCAACTTCCCAGGCTTTCCTGATGCAGCCAGACAAGGATGAACAGCAGAGTTTAAGCAGAATTTCCAGCCTGAGCTACTGAGAACCTTTGGACACATCCATTTTGCTACAGTCCCAGATACTGCATCCTCAAGTGAGTAAATAGAATTTTTTTTTTTTCCCTAGCTTTCCTGAGTCACTGATGCAGCCAGACAAGGCTGAAAAGCAGAGTTTAAGCAGAATTTTCAGGCTAAGGTAGTGAGAATCTTTGGACACACCATTTTGCTAAAATCTCAGGTACTGCATTCTCAAGTGAGTAAATGGAAATATGTATATATATGATATTTTTAAGGGGAAAAAAAAACCCCCATTGAGTAGGTATCACCATAGCAAGGCTTTGTGTTCAGCTGAACCCACAAAAACCACAACACACATAAATATTAACAAGAGTGATGTGCCTTCTCAGATGGTGAATTAAATAGGCAGGGGTGGCTTGATTTCTTAAATCATCTGATTTTTAAAAGTTTTCTGCAGGCATACTTTTGCTCCAAGTAAAAAGCAAATTCATTTTAGAGAATCATGGGATGATTTGGGTTGGAAAGGACATCAAAGATCATCTCATTATTCCACAGGACACCTTCCACAGACCAGGTTGCTTCAAGTCCCATCCAACCTGGCATTGAATTTTTCCAGGAATATCCCTCTAAATTGTTTTTTTTTTTTTTGGGAACACTGAATGCAACACATGCTTAGGATACTTACCCAGGTTGTACCACATGTCCCTGATCTCAAACCCAATTTGCCTTCTCATGTCCCCATACCTTAAAAAGGGAAACAAAACCAGCATTGAAACAAAACCAGCATTAAAACAAAACAAATCTAAGACCTACAAGCAGATAAATCTCATTTCAAAATTCACAGCCTTCAAAAAGAGAAGAAATTCCAGACCAGGCTCTCAAATTGGACCCACACTACTGAGATCACCTGGCTACCCCCAGCAGCTCAGCAATGCTTCTGGAAACACCAAAAAATTTGGAGAGAAAAGGTTCCCAGCCGCCACAATTCCAACATTCCATGGTCCCAGGCAGAGGTGGGAACTCATCCACCCTAAAACTCCACCAGCACCTCCCACCTGGATCATTTTCCTTTCCCCTCCTTCTCCACAGAACACCAGCAAAGCTTTAATGAGTGGAAATCACCCCAATTAACGATGGGATCAGCACCATAACGAGCTCCAGGGATGAATTTGCTCCGTGGAATATTTGCAAGTTAAAGATCATCACTTAAATAACAAGATGAGGCAAACTGTAATGTCTGGTAACTTGTAGGATTTCTGGGGGATAATAGTGAGACACCCTGTCATTAATATGGATTAAAGAAAATCTTCTGCATCATTAAGAATCTGTTATTACCTAATGCTTAAATGCAATGTTTAGCAAAACCTACAAATTACAATAATTAAATTTTAATTATTAAATATTTGACGTTTTAATTGAAATATGTACTTAAAAAGATGGGTGAGTGTGATATTGAATTAACTGATTAATTATATCCCTTTTGACACAGAAGTGCCTTCATACAGCAATGAAAGTGCCTCCAGACCATGCATTTATTGAATCTCAAATTTATTGTCTTGGTTCCTGTCTCCAAAACCTGATTAAACTGAAAATAACAATTTGCAAATTCATTATAAACCAAGATATACAATTTTGCAAACTTTATTAAGCAACCACTTTAAATGACTTAATTTATTTACTTATATTAGCAGTGAGAAATGCCTGTTGATTCCAGACAAACTGCTCTGTTTATTATAAAAAATCACTCCAAGAAAATTTGTGCCTGTGGTTCCTCTCCTGACAAAGAGGAATTATCAATCCACAAATGTATTTGACAGCAATTTCCAGCCCAATTACAGCTCAGCTTTTGGCTCTTTGTTCAGGTCAGGAGTCTGAGCTGAACTAAAATGCTCTTGTAGCTGCTCACTAACACTGGGCAGAGGGAGCAAAAGGATTCTAAATTTAATGAAATAAAATTTACCTGCAACACCATCTCAATTTCCTAAATGAATTATACCTGCCTTTACAATACCAGCTCGATTTCCTTCAATAAAATACACCTGGCTCTGCAACACCAGCTCAATTTCCTTGAAAAACCTTTATCTATAATGTTTTTATGGTATTTATAGCACAAGCCCCAAACCCTGAGCTCTGTTTGACGCCACTTTTCCAGTGAACTTGTAAATATTCCTGTTTCATCAAGGAAGCCCTACAAGTCCCAGGTAGAGCAGATCCTAAAATGCTTCAAAATTCTCTTTCAAGGCTCAGGTAGAGCACAGCTTCCAAAGGAAACACCTCAGAACTCAGGAGGGAGCAGTAGAGTTTGCAGGGCAAAACTTGGCTCCCATAAAAAGGGATGGGATGTGGAGCCCTTCCTGAATTTTCTGGTCCTAAAAACCTAAAAGCCACACGAGCAAAAGAACATTGAAATGAAGTCACTGCAGCAGTGATGAACTGTCCCCACTCTCCTGGGATTTCTCTTATCACAATAATCGACAGAAAGGCCTGAATTGGGAAGGTGAAGGGATAGAAAATGCATTTTCTGTCTCTATATGGACACATTTTATTTACTGTACACACCAGGAGCCTGAACTGTGCTTGTTTAGGGAATCACAGCTTGGAAATTCCCCAGTTTTGTGACCTCACTGGCCATGGGAACATCCAACCTTTCCAGCTGCTCTTCCCAAATCTTATGCACAGGAAAAGAATCCACGCACTGTGTCTGAAATCCCAAAACTGGCTTTTCTCAGAGCTCGGTGCTTACTTAAGTAATTATGTCACTAATGTGGAACACCAATAAAAGGCAGGAGAAATATCAACAGGACAAGGGGAGGTAAAATGGAGAGTTGGGAAAATTCCCTCACTCACAGGAAATCGGAATTGGCTGTTCAGGTGGAGTTTCCCACCCCTGGAGGGATTTAAAAGCTGTAAGGATGTGGCACTTGGGGACAGGGGACAGTGGACTCCATGACCTTAGAGGTGTTTTCTACCCTTAATCACTGTTTAAACAAAATCTTCATGTTCCACTCTGATTTCCAGGCTTTTTTCCCCCCTTTTGACAGCTTTGCTGTGCTGTGGGGTTCTGAGTGGCAGTGGGGTGGCTGGAGGCAGGGAATGGAATCCCTCAGGAGCAGGAAATGGTTGCATTGATCCCAACCCATCCTTCAGGGACAGCCCAGTGGAAATGGCTGGAGTGACCAAAATTCCCTTAAACACACATCAGGGATTACCAATAAAGAACAGACATAAAATGAGATTAGAGGAAAAAAAAAAAAAAAAAAAAACAACAAACTGAAGCGATTTCAAAATGCAGTTTTGTAACATGGTAACACTTCTGAGAATCTTGACTTTCTGAACATCCTAGAGCAGCAAACATTGAATTCATGAGGAATGATCAGAACTCCATGCTGGGGCAGAAACACACACAACACTTGATTCATGGTTTTCAACCCAACCTTTCATTATCTCCTGATTGCATCTCAATTTGAATAGATTTAGCAAAGAAATTAAACTGAAATTATGGCAATAGACCTCGAGTTCTTGGCCATGATTTAGATGATGAGCAGGACTTACTTGTTAAGGATTTTTGCTCTTTTAGCACTTGAAAAATTCTCCAGTTGTAAAGATTCTTGTGTGAGAAAAGCAACAGCCAGGTGGAAATAGTTGTTCCAGAGCTGAAAGGCCCCAAAATGACAAGAAGAGATTCCATTAATTCTCTGAAATGTTTCTCTACACACCTACAAACAACTTAAAAGTCTTTAAACCATGCACATAAATATTTAAAGGAGAAAAGAACAGACACCACAGAGATGGTGTTTCTTGATAAATTCTTAATACAGCTCCTCGTTGCCTTTATGTTTCCAACAAATATTTCCCAGCTACAAATCCCAATTCTTTGTGTTTTGACGATTCAGGCAGAATCCCAACCCAAAGCCTGCTGTGATTCTGTGATTCCATGACAAGATCCAACAAGTGAGGAATGGATCCCAACTCCAGCTGAGCCTGCAATGATTTAACTGGGCTAACTGAGATTCAAAATGATGAACCAAACTCACCAAAACGACATGTTTAGGGCAGAAATTGATTACATTAATATCATTGATTCCATTCAACCTGGGAGGTTTTTTTTTTTTCTTACCTGTAACTCAAAGTTGGTTTGATCAAGGAATTTTTTGTTTAGCATATCTGCATACTGATTAATTGCTCGCAGGAAGACTCTGAAAGATCAAGAGAAAATTACATAATTACACACTTCTGGGGTACCTTTGTATATTTGGCATCCCAATTAGACACAAAATCTGAGTCTGTCTGGAAAGTGAAATTTGAGGCTGATACTTGAAAAGCAGTGTGATCTCACCACTGGTAAGTGTACAGAATTCTATGCAGATGTTCTCCAAATTAATCAAGTAAATTAGCATATGCAGAAACAGAGGGAGTGTTTGGGATAAAATCACTTGTCTTTAAAATATCTTTTCATAATCAAGAGAGCATTAAAAATTCAGTTTATTAGCACTATATAGACATACATTTTTAAAGTTACAGTGTTGTGTCTAACCCAGACCTGCTTGTAATTTAACTTTAAGGTCAAGAAAAGCACGTTTTTAAACACATGAGACAAAAAAAATTCCACTTATGGCACAAGAGAAATGCTGCTGAAGGACAATCTTTAAAACATTGTTCACTGCTCTACTTCCAAAATGCTAATTCAGGACCCATTGTAGTTTCTGGAGTTTCTAAAAAGGCTTCTTAAATTGCAAAAGGACTTGGCCTGACAAGCTTGAAAGAGAAAACCAAATGGCACAGGAGAAGTAGGGCACTACATATTCATGGTGCTGAAAAATAAACTGATTATATTCCTTGGTAGCCTGATCTCCATTTTCAAAACAAACATGAGATTCTCCCTGCAAACCCGAAATTGATGCTGTGCAGCTGCCAGCTAATGCCAGACAAATCAGCTGCTCTTTGGAACAGGCTGGGGGAGAGATTTGTGTCTCCTCAGAGTCCCCAAAAACAATGAAAACCCCTCCTGAGATCTTCTGGCTTTGTTTTTCCCCACCCCAAAAATAATCTTGAAAAACAAAGTTCACTACTGCAAAGAAAGAAGTTGATTTTCCTTCAGGCTGGCCAAAAAAACCTCTCAAAAAACCAGAATTATTTAAAACAAACCAGCTAGAAAGAGTTTGCACTGCATTTAAGATTACTTAGCAATTTCTCCTAAAAAAAAAATTAATATTTAGCTGAAAGTTTGGTATCCAAGAGAAAAGAAGCCTCCAGATAATGCATGGGCAACATGATGGAAACAGACATTATTTATATGTATTTATATACTTATTTATGGCCAATATGCTGCCAAAGATTATTTATGAACACATTGATGTATTTATATAAATATATCCATATGTACATAAATTCATAAATACATCAATATGTACATAAATTCATCGGGATTCTAAGAGAATTTATTTATTTATATATGGAAATAAATTAATAAAGGGAAAAATTGGATGCCACTGGGATATATCTGTAGTATAAGGTCAGATCATCCCCATGGCAGAATTATGCAGGAGAAAGAAAAGATCTAGATGGGAAAATGAAAATGAAATTTAGAAAGGAAAATACAAAAAGAATTAAAATATGCAAGTATTTTTAAATATAAACAAATACACATAAAAATCAAGTACATACATACATGCAGGTGTGTTTGATAATAATATTCTTTATAACTGAGGTGACAGAGGCATCTCTGCACCCAGCACACCCAAGCAGCAATTTCAGCACTTCACTCATTAGGAGATTTTAAAAATGAGCTGAATCCAGCCCACAACTGAACACCCTGCACTGCTCCAAAAGACAAGATTTGAGATCTGTGATTCAATAATTGAGCTGCAGCACAAACTAAGACTGAAATCTAAGCTATCAGTGCCATCAATCACCACTTTCATCCTCTCCTTATCCCTGCTTTGCTTTGTGCTTTTGAAAGCTGATAATACAACGAGAGCTGGAAATGTCCCCCCACAATGAACAATTTCCTGTGGTGCAGGAGCCACCCAGGGCTTCCTCATGGACATAAAAATGGATCCAACTCAGGCAGGGCTGTGCCTCCAGCTTCATGATGCAGCCTCAAAACATATTTAATCTACTCCATCTAATTAAGCTTTGGCATAAGCTCATTACTTTATATACGATTATTTTTCTTTAAATTGTAACTCTCATTTTTTTTCCCCTTATATTAATTCCAGGGAGTACCAACGAAGAACAAATAATAGAAATTCTGCTGTATTTGCCACTGGAAAAGGAGCAGAGCACAGAACATGTGTTCAACTGGAGCTGGAATTAAACAACCCCTGGGTATCAGGGGGCTTTAGGAAGTCAGGAATTCCTCCAATTTTCCATAAAGGAACATCCCAAAGAAGACATGGAGAGATTTAATGTTGATTTTTGAATTACTGAAATCCCAATTAATTTTTTATTTGATTGGATCAATCCTTCTGTGACTAGATAAAACATTTCCTCCATAGGTCAGTGGAGAAATCCCAGTGACAGTCAACAGAACATCATCATCATCATCATCATCATCATCATCATCATCATTATTATTACTTCTTCTTCTTCTACTACTCCTACTCCCACTATTACTACTACAATTATTATCACAGTCTATCTTCATTTGCAAATCAAATGCCATGCAAATCTCACTTTTCAGGATATTTTAGCACCTCCGGTGTCAGGAGCAAACAGCAAAATTAAGATGTTTTTTATCTAATGAAGCGAATTTAAAAAATATTATTTCTTAAAACATTGGCAAGAAGAAGTAGCAAGTTGCAAGATCACTACTCTGAAGAGAGAATTTCAGCAGTAAAAAATCATGCTGGATGAATTCTTGGCTGTAACCTGGGCAATGCTTTGTTATCACCTGGGAAGTTGCTGCAGCTCATGAATATAAAAACGGTTCAGGTTTATGCCCAAATAAAAATTGAAAGAGGAAGGTGAAAAGTTTTATCATTCCAGGTGTTCATTAAATCCTCCTCCTCCTCGAAAGCACGTCTTGACAATTTTCAGTAACTTCACTGCCCAAAGTTAGAGAAAATGAAAAATGAAGCAAAAAGTGGCTCTTCAGAATAAGTGGAATTAACCCAAAAGCAACAGTTGTGTACTGAAGAAGAAAGGAACTGGCTGCTGGAACACTCTCAAGGATAAAAGGTGGACTTGGACATCACTGGGCCAAGGGATAAATAATCAAAACTCTCAGCTGGAGAGCATCCCTTGCAGTGCCAGCCCTTATCTCGCTGTAATTAATAACCAAGATTGCCTCCCAGTTATGTGTGCACAAAAAGAAGTGCTCTTCTTGAAATTCAGTTTCAATGAACAAAAGAATTTATTATCCATGTCAGGAAGAGGCACAGAAGTTAAACTTTCAAAGTTCAGAGCCTGGAAGCAAACACAATGGACTCTGCTGCCATGTAAGACAACAAAACCTAATCCGAATGTATTGGCAAAGATTTGGGAGACAAAAGACTTTATCAACCCAATTAAAAGCAGGAAATTAACATTTTCTATGATGTGATTGGAATAGAAGGAATATGATTATGGAAGGAAGTCACTTCAGGATATGTGTAAGAAAAAAGGGCATAAAAATCCACCAAGGAACAAAACCAATGCCCTGGACAGAGGTTTTTGTGTGAGCTCTGGGGAAGGGGGGATGGGGATGGCTCCAAGGGCATCCAGAGAATTCTGTTGTCTCTTCTGTTGGAGTTTGATCCTCTGAGGCACGGACTGACCTCTTATTCTGTGTTTAGAGACTTTCCATAGACCAGAATCACAATAATTTTGGTTAGAAGGGACCTGAAATCCCATCCAGTGCCACCCCTGCCATGGCAGGGACACCTCCCACTGTCCCAGGCTGCTCCAAGCCCAATGTCCAACCTGGCCTTGGGCACTGCCAGGGATCCAGGGGCAGCCACAGCAAATCTGGGAATTCCATCCCCACCCTGCCAGGGAACAATTCCTGCCCAATATCCCATCTCAATCCACCCACTTTCAGTTTAAAGCCATTTCCCTTTTTTTCTCCCCCTCCAGGCCCTTGTCCCAAGTCTCTCTCCAGCTCTCTTGGAACCCCTGAGAGAGACTTTTGGGTGTCCCCAAAACCTTTTGTCTATCACTAAGATTTTTTTAATCTCATCCCTGTTCATGCATTCCCTGATCAGATCTGTGATCAGCTCTCCACCATCCAGCAGGAACAGTGACCTGCCCACCACCTTTGGAATGTGACATACAAGGGTGGCTGAGAGCTCAGGTGAGAGAAGCCAGGGAAAAAGAGATGGAGGAAACCATGGCAGAGATCAACATCAGGAAATACAGGTGATAAAAAGCAGAAATTCCCAAAAAACCAAACCAAAAATCCAGGTGACCAAATCTCAGTGTCCTGCTGGGTACATTCACCTTGCCCTGCCCTAGGCAATCCTCATTTCTCCAGTAATTTCTCCCCCTTTATGGAGTTCATCCAGCCAGGAATGTGCTGCTGGTTCATGAACTGACTCCAATTTCAGCTCCAGACTCCTGGGAATGTTTCCTGTTATTGATTATTATTGACTTCCACTAGGCCCATAGGTGCTTAATTGGTTTGTGGATGCAGAGATTGCTTCACCAAACAGAGCAAAAATTAATGGTTGGATTGTGTCGTTTTCCAAAAGGTCCTTTTTTCCCTCCAAACAGCCTCACTGCCTCCAGGAGGCTGGGAACATCCATCAAATCCTGACTTCCAGTGGCAATGCTAAATGAAGGAGGGACAGAGGGATTCCATTTATAAATGGAACAGGAGTCACTGTGCCAACACAAGACATTTTTTTTCAGCTCTTTCTCAACTTCAGTCCCTTCACATTCTGCCATTCTCCCTCCTAATTAGTCAAGTGCCCCAATTTGCTCGTGTTTAAAAACATTCTGTGCCTCGTTTTCTCTCACTCAGCCTCTGACATTGTTGGAAAGTATTTGCAGGAGCTCCAGGAGCTGAGGTGCAGGATGTAACACCCATCCAAGTGCCTTTGCAAAAACACTGCTCTGGAGGAATAATCTACAGAGAAATATTTCCAAAGTAGAAATATTTTTACAGCCTATGCCATTTTGTACATTATTTAGTTAGCTCCAGTACCCAGGGATTTGGATTTACAGTGTGAGTGTTTATGCAAAATATTTTTGACAGGAAAATTTCTGACAGAAGGAA